GCTTGTCTTATTAGTCATGTGTACTGAAGCGCCTTGTGGCAACATAAATTTCATTTTTGTATATTTGGACGACATCCTTGTTGCAAGTAAAAACGAAGAAGTCTATTCATTTATCGTTTCTTCTTTAGATTTTCTTGTACATGAAATCTCTTATAATAATAATAACACATTTATTGACGTAAATAAAATACTGTGTACATGTATAAATACATAATATTATTACAAAAACGTCAACCGTCACAAAACACTGGTATACCTTAGGACCAAATAACAAACATTCAAGCTATATTTCTTATAACTCAACTATAATTCAGATACTCTGATATCGAGTATGGTTCAATTTCACATAAATAATGTTTAGATTTTTTTTGAACGTTTTTATATTATTTGCATCGATTATATTTAACGGTAAGAATCCGTCCTTCTCAAACGAANAGTTATGATATTTTCCGAACAGCAGTTGCAAAATGCTACATTATCGTCAATTAATGTGAACGTATCGCCAAAAGTCGCTATTAAGTGTGCCATTGAAATAAATTATAAAAACTAAAACAATAGGGCTGAATATGGTAATTCAGTTAATGAAAATCAAAAAATTAACTCTTAATAGAAGTAGTTTTAAACTACAAAACCTAAAACAACAAGGCACTTCTAATTAAAAAAAATCAAGAAAATATTCGATGATAATTAAATAAAATAATCAATCGGTTTGAAATTATAAAAACTGAAACATTCGTACAATTCTAATTCATAAAAATAAATGGCTTACTGAATACTCGGAACGCAAAACGGATAAATGCAGGCCTAGCGTGCTTGTAGATGTGTGAGCGATCGGAACGGTATATCGGGTGCATTTACAATCGTGCCCCATAGGTTCTGCGCTGTCGACGCTACTGAGACGGTACCGAAATATCCGAGCTTTGCTTATAATAGTAATAATACATTTATTGACGTAAATCAAATACTGTGTACATGTATAAATACATAATATTATTATAAAAACGTCAACCGTCACAAAACACTGGTATACCTTAGGACCAAATAACAAACATTCAAGCTATATTTCTTATAACTCAACTATAATTCAGATACTCTGATATCGAGTATGGTTCAATTTCACATAAATAATGTTTAGATTTTTTTTGAACGTTTTTATATTATTTGCATCGATTATATTTAACGGTAAGAATCCGTCCTTCTCAAACGAAAATAAAACCTATTATTTTTCAAAACCTACGTATTTGAAAGAACTTCAAAGATTTTCAGGAATGATAAATTACTTTCACAGATTCGTATCAAATTTTACAGAGATATTACGACCTCTTTATAATTTTGCAAACACCCTTCTTTCTAAAACACATCCTATACTTTGATTTCAAGAAGATTCCAATTCTTTTGTTTCGGCCAAAAGTACTTTAGCAAATTCGATCGCTTTTAGCTCATCCTTGGCCTGGTGCTGTTTTACATTTGACTACACATGCTCAACACTGCTATGGGAGCTGTTCTTTCACGAACAGTTAATTGTTTTACAGCCACACTTGCTTTTTATTAAAAAATCTCAATCCTACTTAATCGAAATATTCTACTTTCGATCGAGTATTATTAGCAATTTATAATACGCCACAAATTTTACTGATCACAAACCATTAATAATAAATAGAATAAATTCCTTTTTTTAGTCATTCAGATAAAATTCTTCGCCAAACCCTAGGTAACCTAAATTATATAACCCAATTTACCTTAAATTTACTAAAGGTGTCAATATTGAATCTCGTTCATCTAATTATCTGTCGTTTGAGGTCATGCGAGCAGCCCAAGTCATAGATGAGGAGTTAAATCATATTTTACATAATTAATTTTCGAACAAACCTCCATACCAATTGTCTCTTCAAACGGTTGCAAATACAAATTGGAAAGTTTGTTGCAAGAGTTCTTTAAATTTGCTCAGAATTTATATTCCTAAAAATTTCAGAAAAGAAGTTTTTAATAAATTTCATAATTTAACGCATTCTGGCAGTCGATCAACGCTTCACAATCTTAAATCTCGCATCTTCTGGCCTCACATGTCCAAAAAAATCAATTATCAATTATGGACAAAAGCTTGGCTAAATTGCAAACAAGCACTTCAGAACATAACCATTCCAAGAAAAAGATTTGAACACAAATTGATTTAATTGGCCTCCCTTCTCCATCATTTGATTGTACTTACATACTAACCGTTATTGACGGGTTGACCCGATGGCCTAAATCATTTCCCCTCAAGGATATTACTTATTCCACTTTTGCAACTACACTACTTCGTCACCATTTTTCAAGGCAAACAGTTTGAATCCAAACATTTTTCTCAATTTAAAATAATTCTTGGTATCCATCAAATTCACACTTCCACCTACCATCAACAAAGTAATGGCATTTTAGAGAAATTCCATCGAACTCTGAAAACCGCTATTACTGCTAGTAATTTTGGTCCACTCATTTTATTGGTACTGCGATCTACATTGAAAGATGATCTTGGTTGTATTTCCGCAGAATTATTATACGGTTAAACACTCAGATTACCTGGAGAATTTTTTATTACTTCCACCCCACAACTGGAAATTGAACCCCTATTCAATTCCCCTATCTAGTGTTAGTTCTACTATACACCAATCAATCTAACGTTGAATAAGAAATAAAAATCAACCCTCACAAGACCGCGTACCGATATACATACCGTTCGTTATTTATAAAGAGTGGTAAGAATATAATACCTACGTTATAAGAATATAACAATTGGCACAAATAATAGACGGAAGTAGGAGATCATATTTCGCAGAACCAAGTCATTATTTAAATTACTTTTTGACTTAAATATTAAAATGGAAAACTTTTTGAGCTTTTTCCGAAATTAAAGTATTGTAATTTAATTACATATATAATTACAGAAAAAGAGCAGTTTTGTTAATTGGTATTTGCAAATAGTATATGTGAATACTTTGTGATATTGTATATCCATATTGCGAGGACTATAATTAAGAAATAGATGAAGGTAATAGAAACTTCTTTCTCGCTGAATAATTTTAATTTCATTTACTCAAAAAAACCGGTTTACGGCCATATTCAGGCCATCATCAGTTTGAATAGTCAAAGTTTTTAAAAAAGAGATCGCCGAAACATGATAATTGCACCACGTAAAAAAATATTATTTTTGAGCACATCAACACAAGCCAAAAAGCGATGAAACAACGATAGATTATTATGACTTTATCATATCGTTAGATACGATAAAGTCATAATAAAGTCACTTTATGATAAAGTGACTTTTTTGACGCTTTTTGGCTTGTGTTGATGTGCTTAAAAATAATAATTTTTTACGTGGTGCAATTGTAAATACTTTGTGTTTATATTTAACTGATTTTTTGTTATTTTACAGACAGCTACACAATTTTCAATTTAATTTTCTTACAAGAATTAGAACATTAGTGTACACTTAGTCACGAAAGTCTTCGTACAGGCTAGAAATTCGTATTTATGAACAAAATAATTATTTATTTATAACTGTTATGAAACATTTTACATATTTTCAACGATTAATAATGATTTAAAATTAAAATATATGCTTCTATATATGTTCGTACAACGAATTATTAACAAAATAACTGAAGAAAAATCCTATTAAACAAATAACTAGTATCGTGTCGGTCCACCTTTCTGCTCTAAAACAGTTTTTAAACGGTTTTGTATCGACGATACTAAGTTTCTACTAGTAACATCGGGCGTAATATTCTCCCATTCTTTCAAAATCGCTTCGTTAAGGGAGGCTTTGCCCATTATCCTATTTTTTCTCATTCTTCTTTCAATTTCGTCCCATAAATGTTCTATGGGATTTAGGTCAGGGGACTGAGGTGGTATCTTCGCTGAATGTTTAGGACCATTATTCTGCTGAAATATCCATATCCTTCCTAGATTTAGTTTATCAACGCTGGCACGCAAATTTTCCTTCAATATGTTAAGACAATAAAAACGGTCCATAATTCCATCAATAAAAACCAAATTCCCTACCCCAGCCGCCGCCATGCATCCCCAAACCATAATTGATCCACCACCATGTCTCACCGTAGGTAAGAGATGCTCGAGTTTGAATTCAGTATTCGGTTTTCTCCATACTTTACCCCGTCCATCCGATCCAAATATATATTAAATTTAGATTCATCACTAAATAATACGGTGTTCCAAAATTCCATAGGTTTGTCAATATGTTCTTGAGTAAATTCCACGCGTTTCTTCTGGTTTATTGGATTGATAAACGGCTTTTTCCGCATTTGTCTTCCATTAAAACGTTGCTTCCGTAACAGCCGACGAATACATTCTGGGTGGATATCCTTTCCTGTTTCTTTCGACACCTCTGCCGCCTATATTGGACCACTCAAAGTTGGTTCTTTTAATACTTTTCGAATAATATTTCGTTTGTCTCGTGAGTTTAACTTCGAAGGGCGACCTGCCCGAGGTTTATTGCTCACATTATTATTAGTTTTGAAGTTTTTTTATGATATATTGCACTGTAGATCGTGGTTTATTAACAAGTTTTGAGATTGTGCTCAACGATTTCTCTTTGTTTTTGAATTTAACAATTAAATTTCTTAATTCTTCGCTAGTTTCTTTTCTATGGGAGCTCATTGTAAATTGATGTTGTAAATGTGATGCAATTGTCGCACTGAACATGTCTTAACAAGTCAAAGTTTACGATATAGCAAAGTTAAACGAAGTGAACCGAAAATTAATCGGCAAATCATCATAATGACGTAAGATCAGTGTCGTATCAATGTTTTTTAACTTATTTATTTATTTAAATAGAATATACTTTATTTTATCCATAAAACGTTATTAACTGTTTTATATTATACATTTCGATAACGAAATGTAGCAAAATTTATAAATAATCGGTTATTTTGTTGTTTTTTCACCTGTACGAAAACTTTTGTGACTAAGTGTACATATATAATGAAATATTAAATAAAAAGTCAATCTTGATAATGATTTATTTGTCTTATATTTTAAATCTTTGCACAAATATAGCTAACAAAATCTAACTATAGTGAAAATTAAAGTGATGCTTCTTCTTACATTCAGTTTAAATTCTTTCGTGTTTTTGTATGTGTTATCTACAATAAAATCTGATATTACATCCACAAGGTATCTGATTATTTATTACAATTTTTTTTGTTGTTTCAACTGGTTATTTCCTACATAACTGACTCGTCGTACATTTTCTATCTCTTTATACTCTTATTATACTATTACTTTATACTATTGTCAATATATTATCACCTTTATCTACTTTCATGGTTTGTAAAATACATAACGCAGTCTACATTGAAAAATTACTTGATTTTTTATTTTCTCTGCAATCTGTATTTAAATCCATCCACTTTTATTCTAACAGCTGATCAATCATATTATTTTATCTTTTCACAGTTTTTAGTATTTTTTTTCTTCCTCTACATTTTCTTTGTTATTTGTTAATGTTATTAAAGCATTAATAACTTTTATTCATCCAGTCCCCATCAAAGTCTTACTTAAAAGGAAATAGCATACGAGGGAAGCTTGTAGTAATACACACAAAATAGGTTTCCAATACTTGCACACCGCAGGCAACTGAATGTTTGGCGTGGATAATTTCTGATATTCATCATTTTCAATTCTAACTTTTACATGGTTATTCATCGTTGGTTCATCCGTTGAAGTCAACAACAATAGTTCTTCATTGTTGTTACGTCCAGATGAACAGTTTTCTGGTTGGCCACCGTTCTGAATGCCATCTTTATTATCAAAATGAGTGATGTTATCATCAATATATTTAACTTTGAGACCTTTACCATCAACTGAATTAAAACCTGCTGCAACATCCACTTTTTTGTTTTGATAATTTGTAGTGCTCATGATTAACATTTGCTTTTCGAACCATTCCTCTTTGCTTTTAAACGCTAAAAGTTCCTTATTGTCATTTAGATTTAATTCTGATTTTTGTAAAATCATGGTGTATTCTGGATGGTAAGCAATCGATGCATTTTTATGATTAAATGACGATATTATCATCATTATGGAATTGTCATCATTGAGAACATCTAAGAATTCAGCTACCATATTAGGCATAATATTTATTGGGAAGGTGATATAAGTTGAATCGGTGAGTTGGAAAACAATTTTGGAATGCATGTACGTAATTTCCATGTTTTCGGGTGCATTGTAATGTTCTATAGTTGATATTCCTTCGCTTTCAATCTCTGGTTTTAAAAGGGGAGTGTAAATATTCGGAGTTGAAATAAATGGTTGCGGTTCAACGTGAGCTGCGTCATGATAACTGAAAACAAAAAAATACGAAAAAAATTTTTACTTTACTTTAATTCACCTGTTTTGATACATTTTAATCGGTGTAGTAACATCATTTTTAATGGAAACTTGGGGAACTTGTGTATCTTCTTCCTTTTCATAACAACTGTACCGTTGAGTATGTTGGTCTACACCAATTATTTTTGCATTGATGTTCTTGAATATAATTGAGTATCCATTGGAATTATCTGCAGTGATTTCTAATACTCGTTGTTTATTGTCCAAATAATTATTTTCCACGTTTTTTAACAGATCTTTAAACTGTATTATGTTTTTCGTCCTGGAAATTTAAAGAAATGAAAACGTGTTAATCGTAATATCGTTTTTGATTTAACCGAAATAGGGGCGATATTAAAAAAAACTTATTCTACGATTAACACATATGTTTGCTAAAATGTTTCTAAATACTTAAATGACAATAAGTCGTAAACGCGGTTTTTACTTGATTGTCTTTAACGAAAACTTAAAAGAAATATATATAAAAAGTTTTTATTTGTATTATATTTAATTATATCGAATAGTCAGATTATAGATTAATGTGTAAACAAGAAAAGATAATTAGATATATAAAAATGATAAATTAATTGATTAAAAATGATAATGGGAATGGAACTTAGATTATTATACCTAGACATATGAATCTAGATTAGTTTAAGTTATAAACACTATAAAATAACTAAAAACAAAGTGATAAAATCAATAATTGGGTGTTTTGTCAGTTTTTTATCGTTGGTATATTTAAAACTTAACTTTTCTCACTTGCATTTTCCTTTAAACCCGATTTATAATTAAGACCTTTAGAAATCTAAAGAAATCACTACGCCTCTTTTTTAGAATTTCGATAAATTCACCTTTCGTTTGCCGCACATGAATAAAGAAATAATCAGTTTACGAATCGATACCAAACCTGTAGTAAAGTTTGCTATAATCCCTGATCATGATCATGGACGGAAAAATGTCCGATTTTCAAGATTGCGTTTAGTTACTAGCACAATATGATTTTTTTCTCGAAAACTATACGTTGAAAAATTGTCCCTGCTTTATTTTCTGAAACCTAGTTTATTTCATTTTTCGTACAATATCATATACAGGCGTAGTCGATACTTCGCGATAAACATTATCCTTAAGGACGACCCACAAAAAAAAATCAAGAGGTGTTAAATCAGGTGATCTGGCAGGCAAGGAAATTGGACCTCCCCTGCCAATCCATCGCCCAGCATAATGCCGATCTAAAGCTTCACGTGTAATGTGTGAAAAATGTGCTGGACATCATTTTGCAGCCACATATTTTGTCTTTCTTCCCTGCTCAAATCTACAAGTAACGTTGGTAAGACGTTATCTAAAAAATTTCCTTTACCAATTATGCCACACCAAACAATAAACCTTGGTCGTTGATGTTCTACTTCACGTAACCATCTCAGATTTTTAACGCTCCAATAGTGCATGTTATGTCTATTGACTTGTCCTTTTTTTGTAAAAGTAGACTCATCCGAGAATAGCACGTTACCAAAGAAATTGACGTCCAACCGGATTCGTTCTTGTGCCCACTGACAAAATATTGATTGATTTTCAAAATCACCTCCATAAAGCTGTTGATGCAATGAAATGTGGTATGGGTGATACTTGTTGCGCTTTAATATTCTTAAAATGCTGGTCTTCGATATTCCGGCGTCAACTGCAAGTCGTCGAGTGCTAACTTGAGGATTTACCTCAACGCTGCTTCTTGATGCCACATTTCCAGTGATAGTAAAATCATTCACAACTCTGTAAAAGCGTTCTCGATACAAAGCTATACTACCAACAACTTTTCTGCCACTTTCTCCATAAATAAAAATCATTTCGACTTTTTCTGCCACTCTTAGAGTATCCATGATTTAATGACTAAAACGATGGAATGAATTCAGAATTTGTTGCCATGCAGTTTTTTGCAAATTTAGTTTTACCCGTTCATACATTTTAAAACAATTCAACCAATTAAGTCTCTGAAAGCGATATTCGTGAAAATGCCGATATAAGCAGTTCCACCAACTCTTGTTTTTTATGCGTTATTCTATTATCAAATTGACAAAGGCGGAGAAATGTCGGAATCTTTTAGACCTCTTTCCAAAGGTATTTTCGACGAGCCAGGTCACCCGATGTACCTCTTCTGAATTTTTTTTGTTAAGCATTCTTAAATAGTATTCTAAGAATTAAGAACTGAAGAGAATGTATCGTACCGGGTAGGAAAATGTCTAAAAATTCATAAATCTTATTCTTGCTAGATTATAAACGTTAGTTAATTGTTTCTGAAGAAATTTCAATTTTTTTCAAAAGATGTTTTGCCGTTGTACTGGCAAAACCACACAGTAATCTTTTTTAATTATTCTACTTTTATTCACAGATCCAGATTTTACAGTAAAATATATAGGGTGCCATTTAAAAAATTGGTCGTGATCTTCAAATAACCTTGAAAATAACGTCAAGGTCAAAAAATGATATCGTCATATGGTTTCCCCCTTCGCACAGAACACCTTTTATTTTGTTTATTTTTATGTAAAATAAACCGTTTTCGAGATAATCGCTTGTCTCATGTTAAATGGACCACCTGTATATGTATATAGAGTAATAAATATTCTTATAAGTATTTGTGTAGGACGATATGATTTCACGCGATGCCGATTTATCCTTCCTACTTGGTAAAATTGGAACTTCCTTTATCTTAATAATTTTGACGAGATAACGATTAAATCATCATTAACAAAATATTAGTATTAACGGCAGGATTAAAGGCAAAGGAGATTTATTATTATGCATTATTAACACTCCATAAATCGAAGTATAATGTTACTGCTCTAATACATGAACAACTTATTTTAGTGTTTAAATAATTAATATGTACTTACTCGTCATAAATAAATAACTTGCATGGAACCGAATAACTTCCGTCAGGCATTTTAAGAATTAAATGTTGGTTTAAGTGTAAGGTTTCTTTATAAACTGTGTAAACACACACTTTAAACGAAAATATTTTGTTTGATAATGTTTAGTTACTGATAAATAAACAATTCAGTGCGGCAGATTGACGACTGAATGTTTTATCATTCATTTTATAGTCGTTTATGACGTATACTTTATGAACTAGGCATGCGTCGTTTGCACGCACTACAAGTGGCGTTTCATCTGGACAACAATTTATATATTTTTAATCTATATCTTATATCTTTAACAATTTTTGTATTGGACACTCTAATATCTGTATATATGGGAAGGAGAAACACGTTTATTTCCTTTAATTCGATAATCTTATCAAGGTGACAAAACAATAATGACTTATAGGTGCTTTATTAAAACGTATAAATGTCTTTGAAGCTAAATCATGGGCTAATAAGAAGAATAATACGTGGAAATTTATGACACTGAATAGTATATTTCAACATTTCGAAAATTATTATGTGTTGTTGATTAAAGGGTGAAAGCAGGCGTTGCTATCCTTACAAATAAACAGTATTGCACTACACCTTATTGTGAGCCTTGGCCACTTCTACAATTTTGGGCTAAATTGCTCCAGTTCTACAGGACGGTCAAATTCTCTGTAACGTTGTCCATCCTGGTCCATCCGGCCTCCTGGTGTTCGAATGATTGAATCATACCCTGCGCGTGACCCACCCACCACAATCTCTGGGCTTTAATCCACGTTGATAGTTCTGGTCTTTCCTACAGCTCTCTTATCTCGTAGTTCATTAATTGTCTCCATCCTTTATGCTTGTATCATAGTTTAGCCCATATATCCCTCTTTCTTTCAAAGTTGTTTAACCACTCTTGATCAAGATTATTGAGTATCCATAGTGTTTACGATCCATAGCTTACTACACGGCGTATGACCGTCTTATACAGCCTCTCTTGACAGCCTCTTGTTAAAAGTTGAACATAGTTAATCGGGAAACTTTACTAGGACGTAGTACTTGGCAAAAAAAAATTTTTGTTAATATTTATAAACATTGGTCGTAACTCTTTTGACGACGACGTTTTAGAAATATCGATTACATTTTCCTTTCGTATTTCGTTAGTTAAAAATTTCAGACCGAAATTCCAATTAAGTATTTACAAAGTTATAGTATATGGAAGAGAGTGCCGCCGTCGAGTTAACTTTACTATTGTTGACTTCAAGAAACATTAAGTTTCAAAAATCGATTTTTTGTCTTTCACATTTCGAAACCAACATCTGCTAAGAGTAAAGTATGAAAATTTCATTTATCTCGAAACCGTTTTTTTTTCTTCAACTTGTGGGAAGCAGAACTTAAAATTTATTCAACCTATCGAGCTGCAATTTTAACACATTATTCTACACATCAGCTATTCTCGTTGAAATTTGATGAATTTTTTTTAATTCTAAAGTGCTTATGATGTCCGTTATATCCTCTCCAGCACTACCTCCATTCGCCTCCAGGTCTTGGAAGTCCTTCCCCTTATCGGCATTTGCTTCAACCTCATCGGTTTCATGAAAGAGCTTCTGAAGGTATTGTGCCCATACATTCCTAATCCTTATAAGTAACAAATATAAAAATCACGTCGTAATGTCGAAAGCTGCTACGTCTCGAAAGAATAGTATGCTTAAAAATGACAATAGACCACCGTATGTTGAACATTGCCTCTATTTACCTGAAGATTGTAAACCTAGGAAGAGAGAATCCTTCATTCAGGCGCTACACCAGAAAGAGCTACTAATACTTTTAGGCGACGTACCATTTTTCAGAAAATGAAGATGAAGACTTGCACAAATTTTTAACACAACAGGGGAAAAAATATAACATGGAAATATCCGCATAAAAAACACAATGAATGACCACGTCTAAAGAACCAAGCAGATGCAAGATAGAAATCGATAGTCAAACAAAATTTCAGTATCTGGGTACGATATAATAGACTATGGTAAGATGTCTTAGGAGGATTGCTGGGAAAACCTTATAGGACAGAGCGAAGTTCAGATATAAGAAGGGATTGCAAAGTAGAAAATATTAAGGAACTAGACTAGAGGGTACTAAACAGAAAACAAGAATGGAACCAACAGATCAACAATATAGCAACCAACAGACTTCTGGGAGTAATAAGAGACAAATCTCCTGACGACAGAAGAAGTATTAGACGACCCAAGAAAAAGAGTATTAGACCCAAGAAAAAGATGGACTCATAAAATCGGTTTAGCAGTTTCAATTTGGTTTGAAACACGAAATTTCATTCGTATTTGTTAAGTAATTCAAATATATCTACTGAATATGACTCATGTGAGTCAATCGTTAACTTCATTTATTTTATATTTTTAAAATTTAGATAAATTTAATCCATTTATGTATTTATCTACTGTAAAAAAACAACCTTTTGATCGCTCTATTTTATCATACATCAACGTTTTCTCCTCAAACCACTCGTCATTTTTGTAGGTTATTTATTATAGTGTATTATAAGTGTGTTGCAATATTATTGGAATAAATTCAATAAAACGTTTATAAACATTATTTTGCAAAAATGCAACAAAATAGATTTCAAATATTCTGCCTCGGCCGCAAGCGACCTCGGCTATGATTATATACCAAGATCATGAAGGATTGTCTTTGATGAGTGTGATATATGATGGCCAAAATTGTCTAAAATTAATATTTACAAGATATAATAAATAAAATCGATTTTAAATATTCTGCCTCGGCCGCAAGCGACCTCGGCTATGATTATATGCCAAGATCATGAAGGATTGTCTTTGATGAGTGTGATATATGATTGCCAAAATTGTCTAAAATTAATATTTACAAGATATAATTAATAAAATCGATTTTAAATATTCTGCCTCGGCCGCAAGCGACCTCGGCTATGATTATATACCAAGATCATGAAGGATTGTCTTTGATGAGTGTGATATATGATGGCTAAAATTGTCTAAAATTAATATTTACAAGATATAATAAACAAAATAGATTTCAAATATTGTGCCTCGGCCGCAAGCGACCTCGGCTACGATTATATGCCAAAATCATGAAGGATTGTCTTTGATGAGTGTGATATATGATGGCCAAAATTGTCTATAATTAATATTTACAAGATATAATAAATAAAATAGATTTCAAATATTCTGCAACTTACATATACGTATTTTCGGTTATGAAGTATTTACGAGGACCATAACATGACGGCTAACGTTGTCGTCCTGAAAGTAACATGGGTTCTGTAAAATTGTCATAACGAAGGAAGGACATAAAGCACTATAATAATCTACAAGTTATGTTATTTGTCCTGACCTTTGACAATTCTAACTCAAGTTTAAAAATTTAATAATGCAAAGCCCTGTATTCCTTTAATAATTGTAGGTTACAATGACAAAAGAGGTTCATATTTGGCATACGTAATACCATGAATACGACGAAACTATAGCATACTTATTAATACAGTTATATATAATAGATCTTTGAACATTCTACATATATTTATGTGATTATAAAACTTTGATGTAGTTAGGTATAAAATTTCAATATAACATTTATATTATTTATTTTTAAAAAATCTACATGACTGTTTTAAGTTTAAACTTTTTATATTTTTTTGTGGTAGTTTAAAAAATGGAACGATCTCATCACGTGGGTTTAAAGAACGCCGGTGGACCTGTGTTCAATGTTCATTCGCTTACAATTTGTTAGACGCCGGCACCTGTGAAATTTGTGATTGTTTACGTAGCGAATCATGCACAATAACCGTTACCGAAGATAGAAAACCAGATAGCATTTTAAAATGGAACGACTCCATTCAAATCCCACCAATTGCAACTTTAGATCAAGGATTAGAAGACGATTTTCAATTAATGCCAGGTAAGATTTCGTTATAACCCTTAAATACGGAACATAAACCCTGTGTATCTGTTAACCATGTGTAACGCAGCAAAATTTGATACTAGCGCACCTAAGTGAGTTAGCGCAATGTATCAACTCAATTGTCGGTCAACTGCGCCGGCATCGCCTGCTGTCTCGTTCCAAGTTCTAACAAATAAAGGTTTTATACGTGATTAAGGGCCGGTTGTACCACCTCCCGATAAACTATCTAACGGATAATTACCATGGATACAGCGGTTTTAAGCGCTCTCATTGGCTAAGGCTCGTTACTACCATCTTTTAGTTAAATTTATCTAATAGATAAACCCATCTACTAGCCAATGAGAGCGCGTAAAATAGCCGTAACCATGGTAATAATCCCTTAGATAGCTTAACCAGAAGATGGTAGTAACGAGCCTAAGTGCGCCAATTTATCTATCAGATAAATTTATCGGGAGTTGGTACAACCGGCCCTAAGAGCTGCAATTTTCACTTACATACATATTTGTAAATCTTCAAGCCACACCGGCGTGCTTTATTACGGTAACGGTGGCGCAGTGTTACACATCTCTAGTATCTGTCTGGTGGTCTCGTCTGGCAGACTACTACCGATATATTGTTCTGGTTGTTTAACGCAAATGCTGTGTTTAGTCACGCTACCGAGGTTGTGAATTTTTAATAAACCTGTATTGGTCAGAATCCCAGGCAGCTGCGCTGCCAAGGCAGTGGCTCCAGTACTAAAATAAAGTAGAATTTTAATAGGAAAGTATTATTTAGAAGCCGAGGCACTAGGTCTAATTGTTCAACACAACTACACTGTTTAGGAACAGAGGCAGTGGCGTTGCCAAGGTTGTGGTTATAGATTTTTAATGAAAATGTATTGTTTAGAAACCGAGGCAGTCGTGCTGTCGAGGCAGGGACCACAGTACTTAAAATAAAGTAGAATTTTTAATAGAAAAGCATTATTTAGAATCCGAGGCAGCTGTGCCTCGGATTCTGTCTTAGTTGTTGAACATAATTTCAGTGTTTAGCAACAGAAACAGTCGTGCCGCCGTGGTTGTGGTTCTAAATTTTTAATAAAAACGCATTGTTTTGAAGCCGAGGTAACCGTGCTGCTGAGACAGTGGCTTTAGTACTTAAAATAAAACAGAACTTGTTGAATACTACCAATGCATCGTTCATAAATCATGGAATCTATGTAGTTCTTGATTTTTAACGCAAATGCAGTGTTTAGGAACAGATACAGATGCGCTGGTGAGGCAGTGGTTTAAGTTTTTTATACGAATATATTGTTTAGAAAGTGAGGCAGCGATATTGCCAACGTAATGGTTCCAGTACTTGGGCATAAAATCTTAAAAGATTTATACAGGTAAACGTCGTTTTACGCCGGGGTTCCGTTCCGAGAGACACCGCCGTAAACAAAATCGCCGTAAAATGAACACAATTATAATGGACGATATCAGGTTAGATTCCATGTCAAAATTCTAAGAACAATCTAACATGTTTATTTAATACATATCCTATATACAGGGTGATTTATAACATACGGAGCAGACTAAAAAATATCTTTAATTTGGCTCCTAGTACCTACCCTTTTAGTCTGCTCCGTATGTTATAAATCACCCTGTATATTCGAAATAAATACTAATCTCTTGATATAAATAATGATTTTTTTGAAATAAATATTAACTCACTAGTTCGTCAGTACTAAATTAAAGTCTCACACTTTTTTGAAAAAAGCATCCAATTTCATTTGCTTTGATTGTTGCTTCCTTTCTTGCAGAATCATAGCATAAGGTCGAACGGCAGCTGTGACACTTCTTTTAACATTTGCGCTTCGATTGTAATCCCTATCTATCTCACAGAGTTAACCTTTCTATAGAGGAAAGGATACGAATTAGATCGTCCGTTTTTAGGATTTTCCTATAATTTTTTTTCTCATCCTTCTCTTCTTCTTCGGGATTTTCTGATTGAGGGCGATCATATGCCTGCATCAACTCTTCTAATTCTTGATTTGAGAGTGGTTGTTGGTCATGCACGTTTAATAGTTCGGTCACATCGGGCACATTAATAGTTTGCATGTAAGCCTGATAATGTCTTCGTTTATGTTAATGTTATTTTCCACTTCTACACTTGCACCTTGTATAAATCCAGGCAGACGTCTACGCCAAACGCTGTTTAAACAATTGTTGGTCACTTTGCCTCAATCACAGTTTAGATTTTTTATTCCTTTTGAAATATAGTATGATCGCCAATAATTTTTAACGGTCTGTTTGGAATTAGTATCTATCGCCTTAAATCATTGCTTTTAATGTTATGCGCAAATAATACGCTTTAAAGGTAGAAATTACCCCCTGATCCATGGATTGTAAAACGGAGGTTGTGTTAGGGGGCATGTAAATTACCTTGACGTCCAATCCCGTGTCTAAGGCGTCAAGATTTTTCGGATGTCCTGGGGCATTGTCTAATAGGAGGATTGCTTTCTTTGGAAGGTAATTTCGGTCACAAAATTTAAGTACAGTAGGGCAAAAATAATTTTTATACCGGTCTGTGAAAATCTCCTGAGTGACACACCCTCTTTATTCCACCTCCAAAAAAACTGGCAGGGAGCTTTTGTCAAGACCATTAAAAGCCCGTGGATTCGGAATGGTACACTATCATTGGCTTAAATTTTAAGGAACCAGAAAAAAACAGTCATTCTATCCTTGACAGCTTTAAATCCAGGACCGCTACGTTCTTCTCGCAAAATAAACGTTTTCGATGGCAACTTCTTCCAATAGAGGGCTGTTTCATCAAAGTTGAAGATGAGATCTGCAGAGTAGTTCCCTTGTTCCACAATTTCTTGAAACTTTTGAAGGTAAGCTGCTGCTGCTGCTATCATCGCTTGCAGCTTCGCCGCTTAGTTTAATGCTACAGATATTGGTTCGAGATTTGAATCTCGTGAACCACCCAGTGCTTGCTAAGAAAGTTTCGTTAGTGTTTTCTTGCGCCTTCAAATCAGAAAAAATCAACAGTGCTTTATCGCATATGTCTGCTTGTGATACAGGCATATTTTTTTGATTGGCATCATCAACCCACAATGCTCACATTTTTTCCATTTTCTCTATATTTTTGCTCCTGCTGTAAGTTGCGTGCTTTACACTTACAGCGAACCGGGGAATCCCACGCCGGCACCAACCGGCGTAATTGTGAATCGGCGTAAATCGAACCGGCGCAAAACGACCTGTATATGTAGTTGTTTTAACCAATGTTTTAGGTAATCTAGATAACGTTATGGACGTAACAACAACGTTTGAAAAATAAATATTTTTCGTTTATATGCCGTCTCTCATATGGCACCTTGGTGGTTAAGGGATAATAATACCAATTCTAGGAATTGTTTTAATATGTATTACCCATCTTTTTAACCATATTTACAAGATTATAATTATCTTTTTTTCTGTTAACTAGGAGATTGTGTAACGGAAGAACAAATGTGGACATGTAAAAAGTGCACGTTAGTGAACAGCGGGCAATCGCTATCGTGCGAGGCGTGTTACGGTTCGAAATTAAAGTCGTTGACGATGGCCGCTGGTGGGGGTGAGATGACATTGCGTAAGGGTGAGTTTTGGTCGTGTTCGAAGTGCACGCTGAAGAATCCGCTTTTTGCCACCGCGTGCACCGCTTGCAGCACCGACAAGACGTCGACGACGACGACGAAGCTAACTGTGATATCGCGAAGCCCCTCCCCACGACACCTACTAATTGGGGGGCCTCGCAAATCTTCCACCAACGATGCGACCTCTACCGCTTCTAAACCGACTTACGCCAAAATAAATTATCTTCAAAAAAATAGGGCGAAAATGAATTTCGAAATTGAATGTAAGATCATTTTTATAAAGCTATTTTCTTGTTTTTTATGATTTGAATGAAAGAAAAAAATATAAAACGAAATTTTAAAAATTATGATTGTTCTGGTGATTCGATCGAATCATCTTAAATTATATGATGTTATATTAAAAACTTAGAAATATTTAAAAATCTTATGAAAATGAGTAAGTCTTTAAAGGCTAAATTCAAATGGTGTATAATTTCATATACTCCCTAGTCTAAAATTGTTTTATAATTCAAAAACGTGGGAGAAATCAAAAAAACTCTACCAGGCTTATATCTAAATTATATGTGAAATATAACATCTAAATAGACAAGGCGAGACCTAGGCAAGCGAGAGCAAAGAGAGAGGTTCATCAAACACATACAACAGCAATTTTCTTTGCTTGAATGCTCGCGAAACAATTTCCTTGCATTCCTTGGCTCAGCTTCATTCAGTATGGATTTGAGTGATAACAATCGAATTAATAAATACAAATAGATTGTATATGTTGTATCATATTTTATTATAGAGTAATATTTTCCTTTGTTATTTTTTCCTGTGATTAGATTATTGATATACAGGATGTAGCAAAAGTCAGTTAACCGATATTAATAAATTTATAAAAATACGTAGGCGCGAGTTCTGGCCTGTTTACCATATAGTAAATAACCGCGGTTCATGAAGCCTGTGTATTCGAGCCAAAATGGTGGTTTGACAGCTTGTCAGTGTATGTCACCACTTATTTACAAAAAGGGTACGTGTAATAATGCCGTCTTATTGCCTTTGGAGTTGCAAAAATACCAGTAAGAAGGGCTTTCGACTATTCAGATTACCACGAGAAAAAAAAAAGAAAGGAAATTTGGCGTAATTTTATTAACAGAACGACATAGTTTTAGATTTCCCGCTTGACTTTCGAGCCTAAATGGCGGTAAATCGCTGTACTTTGATAATCTAGGGACTTTACAGGTTAATATACGAGTACCCTAGGTCCAAGGTTTATATATTAAAGGTTGTCTAAGTTCCTATGCTACAATACTTTGATTTAATTTGTGGGCAAGAGCAGGAGTGTTTCGTGACGTAAGCGATCACGGATTGCGCACGCAACTTCATGGCCATGTGGTGCTCCATGCATTTGTTTAATTTGAATTGCTTGGCGGTATTATTTTCCACATGTGACGTAATGCGCAGTATGGTTGCGTACGAACCTAGACAACCTTTTATATATATACCTTGACCTTAGTCCGGGTCACATCGTCATGGCTACGCAAGATCATATAAAGTACACGACAGCCGACCAGATTGGCCTGTTCTCAGACAAATTGTGTATAAATTGCATAAAAAGTTCTCGCAGTCCGAGTCTATTTTCGATGCGCCACGTGCCAGCTGTCTTTACCATAGGCGTGGTAAAGAATATAGCTGGCGCGCTAATTCAAAATTTTTAGTAAAATTGAAATGAGAAAGATTACGTGATGTAATTGCAGCGAATTTATATTTAAAAGACCAAAAAAATTTTAAAATTTGGGGATCAATAAAGAGTCATAAAAAGTACATTCTTAGATAGTTTAGAACTTCCATGCAATGTGGAGTTATTTTAGGGGATGACCACCCCTACATTTTTAAATAGCAACCCCTGTCGAGTTTTACCTTATTTTAAAGGTAATGGAAAAAGAAACACAACCCCATGAACCAAAACCCGATATCTTAATTCTTTCAAGAATTATGAAGGGTTGACTACCAAATGGGAAAATAAAATGTTTTCATGCTTTTTTGCACGTTTATTACGTTTTTTATAACAAATGTTCAAATTATCGACTTTCTTTGGTCTCGCAATGACCCAAACGCTCGTGTAAGTTTTATCAAATTATTCTTACGGAAAAGGGTTACCCATTTTACCCCGTAACTTCGCAAAGGATGGCCAGAGGCAAATGGGAAAAAACATGTAATTAATATTTTTAAACGTACTATTAGGGTACTTAATGCCCTACAAAATCGACAGGGTAGTTTTTAAATTATTCCAAAAAAGCAGAGGTAGTTTACCCCCTGAAGCCCTCAGATGTATGTGTGATATATCAATGAAAAGCTCCTTAAAAATGAATATCAGTTTACATTTACCACATTTCGATAGCTGTCTTCGTCTTCAAGCTATAAGCGAAAATATACCGCTAAACCCTAACTTTCAACCCTTATAACTCGCCCCAGGGGCTTTATTAGCACGTATAAAAAATACGGAAACCTTATTTTAGTGCATATTATCGCTGTACCAAATTGCAACGAAATCGGTGAGGGACAGTTCCGACATTTCCTTGTTAGAAATATACAGTATGTCCCCGGATTGAGTTACAAAGAGGAAAAAAAATTTTTGTTACTGATTTTTCAAACTTATCTCAGTACACATAATGCGTCGGATATGTTCAAACTAGTAAATCGCATGAATTTTATACTCTAACTATAAAAGTTAACTAATGTAAAAATTGGACTTTTTTCTAAATTGAAAATTGAAATTGAAGTTCAATTTATGATATGTAACCATAGAAACCATAAAAGTCAATGTACTTTCAGCAAGACAGTTGCCCAGCTTACCATTCACACATTGTGCCAAATGGTTAAATTTACAATTTCGTCAAAAATGGATTAAACGAAATGGTCCTATTTGATGGCCAGCACGTAGTCCTGATCTTACAATTATGGATTTGAATGAGGATTTGTTCACTTACAAACAAATAATATTTATTACTTACGTAGTGTGTTATTACATAAATTTACATTTAAAATATTTTATTCAATTAGCCATATTTTAATTTGATTTGTCCGTATATTTATCACTAACATAAGTTGTAACTTTTATTTTATTTTATTGGTTTCTATGGTTACATATCGTAAATTGAACTTGAAAAATTTTTAATTTAGGAAAAGTGTAATTTTTACATAAAAGTGGGAATAATTAGTTAACTTCTATAGTTAGAATATAAAGTTCGTGCGATTTAGTGATTTGAACATATCCGACGCATTATTTATGCTGAGATAAGTTTGAAAAATCAGTAATAAATTTTTTTTCCCTCTTTGTAACTCGATTCGGGGACATACTGTATACAGGATTAGTTAAAAGTATGGAGATGACGCTTTAAAGTTGTTAATATTCATTTTAAGAAATTATGTTCAATACAAAAATTTGTTGTATAAGTGTTTTAATTTGAGAATGCTTCAATTTTGTTTTTGTTCAATTTTTTTTGTGTTATACTTGTCCGAGTAATTTACTCTACCATTCGATAGAGCGTTATTTTTTTTCTCTTCTACAAATTTTTTTTTTTTTCTCAATTTATTTTAATAACATTTGTACAAAAATAGTTTGTTCAAGTATTTACGAATAGTAGGTATATTTCAGATAGATAAAATTATTTGCAATACAATTATCGGCCACAATCTTATCATTAAAAACATCTAATAACTAAGTAAATTATTTAAAATGAGGTAAAAATTAAAAAAGCTCTTTCTCAGTTTTCTAGTAAACATACTTAGTACCGGTTTCGATAATTACTTATCATCATCAGCTAAATCTACAAGCGAAATTATAATAAATGCATATAGAAATAAAATAAAATACATAAATAAAATAAGTGAACTTACAGTCAAATAAAAAGATAAAAGTCACAATATAAAATGATTTAAAAACTAAAATAACGAGAAATAAACATGTAAAGTGGACGACACTGAACAACACTACAGGTTAAAATGGAGTAATCACAAAGGAATAAAACAAATTTCACGGATATATTAAAAACTAGAATTTTAAGTGTGAGTATAGAGGTTTGTAAATGGGGCAAAGCTGATCATTCATTAATTTTAGATTTTTATGTGAGTGTTTACCTCAGACTATGCCTTCAAGTGGTCTTCCATTCATAATTTGATTTTACAATCTTCGATGTTATCGAGTTTATCTTTGTAAACTTTGTTTTTACGTATACCCAAAGAAAAAAATCTAAAGTGCTTAAATCAGGCGAACCGACGACCATTCAATGTTTCCTCTTCTCCCAATTCATCCGGTTGGAAAAACGTTATCCAGGTGTTGACGAACATTTAAATCATAATGTGGTGAGGCGCCATGCTGGAACCAGTTACTGTTATTGGGAAGTTGTTCGGTCGTTTCATGTGGATGGAGCATAGCACAAGCGGGTATAATTTGATTTTGCAATAACTGCAAATACAGATTCGAATTTAAATTGCCATTGATTTAAAAGGAACTATAATATGACCCCTAAAATGCCAATCCAAACATTACCAATACTGGTCAAACATTGACCAGTATCTGCAGTTATGTCTGTTTACTTTGACGGTAAGGCAAAAAGTACCTTCGTCAGAGAAAAGAATATTATTAATAGAATTTTCATTATTATTGCAAATATTTGATATTTCTTCACAAAATTGTAGTCTCCTATCAAAATCATCTTCCGTTAACTCGAATACAAGGTGTACCTTATAACTTTTCAGTTTTTAACATTGAAACAACCGATGATTCTGAAATGTTGAGGTTGGTTGATAAATGGGGATCTTCAGATAAAACATCCAGTTTTTATCATCGGTTTTTGTTGTTCTAGGTCTACCACTCCTTGGCAACTCTTTAACACTACCCGTTTGTTCAAAACATTTTAAAGTTTTGGTTTTGGCAACAACAGATTTAAAAATTTATCTCTATTTCGATGCGTAATATTATATAAATTACAAACGTATTGTAAACTTCGGCGTCTATCTCCATAACCCAGCATCATCAATATTTCAATTCTTTCACGTTCACTTAAACGCGCCATTGACATGTATTTGACGTAAACAGTAACCACAATACAGTACAATACAATGACTTGACTTTGTTTATCGCTTCGGTTTTATCCATCTTAAATGTACCTACTATTCATAAATACTTGAACCGGCATTCTCTTGTAAAAGTGTTATTAAAATAAATTTAAATAAAATACTGTCGTAAGGAGAAAACATGCTCTATCGAATGGTAGAGTAAAATAAACAAGTTGATCAAAAAAACAAATTGACCAAAAACAAAATTGAAGTATTCTCAAATGTAGATAACAATTACACAACAAACTTTTGTATTGAACATAATTTCCTAAAATGAATATTTTCGACAATAAATCGTCGTCTCCATACTTTTACTAACACAGGGGGTATTATATATTAGTATAATGACTAGTAATTGTTATGGATACATGAAGTAAACGAATTAAAAAAATAATACAAATTACGGTTACTTTAGAACCATTCATGCAGGTTTCTAAAGTATGTATTTGTAAACAAACTAAACGTTGACAACAAAAGTAACAGGCAGTATGACGTCATTAAGCTATGACGTTTGAGAATTCAACTAAGCAGAACGATTAAAAAAATCGATTCCTTTGGATTACACCCTCCATACACCCACATAGATGCGCCCTCCACCGTAGTCACAGAAGATAACATGCAAGCGTTCGTCGAGACACCAACCAAATCTACACGTCGTATATTATGTCTTCAATTATAAATATCGGGCCGTAGTTTACGTCGCATGTTAAAAAATTTATTATCGTGCACGATTGTTACACGCTTTTACGGATGATGACATTAATCGTAGACTTCAGTTTTACGAGTGGAACATTGGGTGCGCTGAAGACGACGTAAATTTCCTTCTCTGGAGTTATGAAGGAGTAGTTTGAACTGAACGGTCGAATTAACTGTTACAATTGTGTGTAATGGGTATCTAAGAACCCCCATGTAACCATAAATGTCAAGTTAAATGTTCCCGGGATAACAGTGTGGGTTGGAGTTCATCTTTGTTGGAACGGCAAATAGATTTAAATGGAGAACTTGCAAATAATCCGCTGTTAGCAGGTATTCGATATTTCGAACAAGACGGCGTTCCGTCGTGCTTCTGACTAATAGTTCGTCCTGAAGGATAAAGTGTTTGCCACCATTGAACACTTGAAACAGAATTGAAGACGAATACTGAGCTCTAAGTAGTCACCCGCAGTTCTTTCGCAAAATCTGCAGATCCATGCTCAAACGATACCAATTATCTGGTATACGTTTTGAACATAAGATGTGTAACATATAAACTAAACGTTTGTTCAACAATAAATTACGTTTTTTCCTCCAGTTATTGTTTTTATTAATATCGGTTCACTGATTTGCCACACCCTGCACTTAAAATTTTATCTAATCACATATAAAATATGTGAACTTTGTTTAATTTAGATTCCCTACAAAAGATTACTGTAAATCTAATTAATATTGACATTTAAAGGGTGCAAATGAGATTCGAGCAAATGCCAAATGTATTAAACTTCTAATAATTGCTTAAATTATATTACTTAAAAAGAAAAATTTGCTTTTAAAATGTTACTTTGCTCTATTTTTTTATATTAAAAAAATTTGAATGAAAAGAAATTATTAAAATCAACCCAAAAATTTTAATTTATTTATAATTGCTTTTATCATTTTTAGCATCATCAACAACCATTCTCTCGCCAACAAGTCGTCAGCAAATACTTCCGTGGCAATGTGGAGTGTGTACCTTTGAAAACTCTCGATCGCGTTCAATTTGTGATATGTGTATGAATATGCGCGTGGACATCGCCTCATCGTCAAACTCCGAAGCATCTCCCCCTCCGCCCGAGCAACCACCCCGTTTAACCCAAGACGAATTAGCGAATAAACATTGGAATTACATCGTTAGGTACTGCAAATCGAAAAAACAAAGTTTTATCGACGACACATTTCCGCCGGCTGCCACCAGCCTGTATTATTGCCCCGCCGAAAATAGCAAAGACACCAGTGTCCCCGTGATAAAATGGCGCCGATTGAAAGATATCACATTTGATGATCAGGATTCGATAAAAGATAAAGGGATGCCTTGGGCGGTTTTTCGGAAGCCAAGACCTTCTGATATCTCTCAAGGGGTTTTGGGGAATTGTTGGTTGTTGAGTGCGTTGGCTGTTTTGGCGGAACGGGAGGAATTGGTTCAGGCTGTTTTGATAACACGCGAGGTTTGTCATCAGGGAGTTTATCAAGTGAGGTTATGTAAAGATGGCAATTGGACAACGGTGTTGGTTGATGATTTTTTTCCATGTGATAAACGAGGGCATTTATTTTATTCACAAGTAAGTTAAATTATTTATGTTAATATTTATAAAATATTATACAAAATTAACCTTCGAGCGGACACGCATTTCTCTAGTTGAAAATGTTGACCAATAAAGAGAGCGCATTCTTGTATCTTGCAACATAATTCGGAACACTCCGGGAATTTTCCTGCCTGTTAGACAGTCAATGCGTCGATGAATTGCTACGTGCATTGAAGCTAACGGCGAACATTTCCAACATTTAATTTAACTGTGTATGATTTTGTTTATGATTTTTTTTATTATGCAATAATGAAGTTAACGTTTGCTTTTGTTACTTGTTCTAACGTTTTAGTAATATAAAATTTTTATTTCAAAAAATTGTCCATGTTATTCAACATAGAAGTTGATTTTTCTCGAAAACGATCAACTATTATGAGTGGAAAAGTAGGAATGCTTACAAACGCTGTTTTCTGTACGATAAACGATTCCGGAGATGTTCGCAAAAAACGATTTTTTTAATTAAATTTCAACACCCTGTATCTCGAAAATGGTGCATTTTAGTGGGTAAGTTGATAGAAACTTTTTTTCACATTTTTGGACAAGCTATCACATCCTGAAGTCCTACGCATATATTATGAAACACACTGTATATTAAACAATTGTTAAAAACATAAAATGAAATCAATTAATTTTTTAAATCTAACAACATTTACAAACTACGTATACAATTATTAAAAAGCAAACTTATAATATACCATTATTATTATTATTATTAGAATCCATATTGCGAGATTAATTAATAAAAATAAGATATAATAAAACAATAATGTGTTTTAAACTTCAGTTTCTCGCGTTTATTTTAAGTTTCCTCGGTACTGGTTTCGACACTATTGTAGCCGAATCTACAAAACAATTGAATTACAAAAATCCTGTATGATTGAGAACAATTAAAACTATAAATAGAATAATATAAAATCTTATAAAATATAATTTTTTTACAAACTTACGGTCAAGAATAAAACTAATTTGAAATTGGAAACATCTGTTTGGTCATTAGAGATAAAATTTCACCCGTAACTAACAATTTAATATTATTTTCACAAAAAGACAACACTTGACACGAGACATTTGTCATCTTTTCGTGAAAATAATTTTAAATTGTTAGTTACGTGTGAAATTTTATCTCTAATGACCAAACAGATGTTTCCAATTTCAAATTAGTTTTATTCTTGACCGTAAGTTTGTAAAAAAATTATATTTTATAAGATTTTATATTATTTTATTTATAGTTTTAATTATTCTCATTCATACAGGATTTTTTGTAATTCAATTGTTTTGTAGATTCGGCTGATGATGACCTAATATAGTGTCGAAACCGGCACCGAGGAAACTTAAAATAAACGCGAGAAACTGAAGTTTAAAACACATTATTGTTTTATTATATCTTATTTTTATAATATACCAATTTGAATTACATGAGACAGGTTATATTTTTCATTTTGCAACAGTTCAAGGTTGCTGGGGTTTTCACTATGTAGGGAAATTGTCAATTATTTTAATTTGAATTGGATTCATTTTCACATTCTTAACATATTACGTTTACTACAGGATGTTTCTTGCAAGTATATAATAAACATTTTGAACACATTAGTATCATTTTCTGCTATCGATTGAGAATAATAAGATAAAACTATTCCAGGATAGGATCAATCGAGAAAAAAATACAATTTATATAGTTTACCAATATTTCGCTTTATTTTAAAGCTTCTTCAGGGTAATGCTTAAACTAGATACAAGGAAAATGAGCACCAAAATTGTAAAATTAACAAAATTAAATTTACAATTGCGAGGAAATTAAGCGAGAGACCAAGAAACTCAAAACACCGCAATACATCTTGAATACGTGCGATACAATGGTCAACTTTGGCAGAAAACTCCTACATAAAAGTGAACAAGTTTTTTTTCTTCCAAAAATACGAACGTCACGTGAAGCGCGAAAAAGTCCGTGAAAAGTTCTAAATTTAAAATCAAAAATTTACGTCAAAACAATTTATATAAAAACAAATTTATTGTTCCTAAAGATGTTCAATGCCTGTTAGCTTTAGGTCCTAAATTTGTCACTACGTTTAATAGTAGAGAATTTTGCACTAAAAACGTTGTTATGGAAGTAGAAAATATTATTACCACGATCCCTAATAATAAAAGAGATATGGTGAGAACAAAAGCAATTAACATTCTCACTAATTATTTAACATCTGATGAACCTCCATCGTGGTTGGAATCGTTTATACAGTGAACTCACAGTAGCACTTTAAAGTTTTTAAGGAACCACCCCAACTTACTAGTGACGAAGGCAGATAAGGGTGCCATTACGGTATTCATGGATAAAGTTGTTTATTGAAAGAAATTATTTGTTGGATCCATTGTAACCAGTGACTAAATAATTTGAAAGTAATAAATTTTGTATTTTTACTGGTTAAAAACTATTTATTCATTAGAAGCTGACATGTTTCGATCTATTCGATCATCTCTACAAGAAGCCGTACAATTTCAAATTAGTATCAAAAAATCAAAAATTTTAAAAATAGTCATCAAAAAAATAATCATCAAAAAACATGTTGTTAAACAACAACAAAAATTAAAAAAGTTATACAAATAAGTGTTGAAAAATATAAAATTTATAATTATTATTACTTACGCAGTCTATTTATTAACTTAAAGTTAACATTTCAAAAAATTTTCTTTTTATACTATTTGTACAGAAAACACTTTAAAACTACGACGAATACAAGTTAAGAACTCTTGGCCAAATGGTTCAAGAAAGAAATAAAACAAGTTCTTAAAAAAGTAAAATTTTTCCACAACGGCGTATTTTTAAAATAACATCATGGGGTGTTCCGAAAGAATGTCACACATGTCTGATCAGAAATGAAAAGCAAAAGACAACAAACGAAAAACAATTAAAAATTAAACTATTAAGGAAAAAAACTACTAAGGAAAGGATTGTCAAATGGGTAGGATTAACTAGAAAGGAGTTGGGAGTAGCCGCAAGGACCCCAAAACCTGCGGGTAGTATCTGCGGCTAATTATACTACTCCTCGGTATTTTGGGGAAACGGACTGGATAAACAATTATAAAGTGGTATTTTTGTGTAAAAGACTTGGTCATTAAGACATTCCACACTATTATTGCTGAACCTGAACTTGTCAATCTCGTACGATTCCAATAAATTAAGCTTAAAACCCTTATTTTGTTTATGCAACAGAGAGACATCATTGTCTATGTAAAATTCATGGTTATAAGTCATTAAATGTCTACCAAAAGTTGTTTATCTTAATAAAACTGAAAAATGTTAAATGATCACAATACATATAAAAAGTTATCTAACAATAAAGACATGACTAACATTTTACAAACTAAAATCAACAAACTAGTTAAAGATCTGTTCAATAATGGTTTTATTGATGATTTACAGTTCAAAAAATTAACTATTTATAACTAATCTATAAAATTTATTATCCGAATTTTCTTAGTTACATTTTTGTATTAAATCCATATAACTTAATCCAATTACACCATAAGCTCAGATATTTGTGGGACAACTAAAACTAGAAGTAGAAACATTCTGGTTTAGCTGTACATCTCTTAAGACGGCTTAACCCGAATGTTTCTAGTTCCAGGTCTTAGTTCTAGAAGTAGAAAAATGTTCATCTATCTGCTTCCTTGATCTTACTATAACAAAGTGCACCTCCGAGAACAGAATCCTATTCGACATATATAGAAAACCTACTACTACCAATACCTTAATCCCAAAAAATTCATTTACATCATTTCAACATAAATACGCATCTTTTCGTTTCTTTTTTGATAGAATTTTAAATTACCCACTTTCACGTGCTAGTTTTAACAAGGAAATTAATACTATCATCAAGCTAGNTTTTTTAATGTCAAACATTTAGAAACTCCTAAAAAATTGAATTAAATTGACGTTTTTTGAACTTTTAGCGTTTCAAATAATTATTATTAGTCTGGTCAACCCGTGAATAATGATTATTATTCACCGCTATTATTCACTCCGTGAAAAATGACTACCATTTTGTTTTAGAAAACTCATTCATAAGGTATATATTATAAGGTAGTCGTGGACAAAATATTTATTGAAACCGGTTTCGAAGTATTACTTCATCATCAGACAAAATGGAATTTCTCATGACAAATTGTAACGTGTTAACTATAAGATTTTGCTTCGATAGTTTCTTAGTGATGTTTTGTTAGTTGATTGTTTATTTTCAACAGGTGTGTTGGTCTATGAGGATTTACATTTTTTAAGGACTTGACGTGAGTTAAAAGTAAATTTTGTTTAATTACGATGATTTTAATTTTGGTTTGTTGTTTAATTTAATTAAGGTTTTGACTGATGATGAAGTAATACTTCGAAACCGGTTTCAATAAATATTTAAACAGCAAGTACAAGAAGTATTTTAATTATTTCTAATTAATCACCATTTTAAAGTTGTTTATCTTAATAAAACTGAAAAATGTTAAATGATCACAATACATATAAAAAGTTAAATTAACTATTTATAACTAATCTATAACATTTATTATCCGAATTTTCTTATTTACATTTTTGTATTAAATACATATAACTTAATCCAATTGCATCATAAACTTAGATATTTCTGAAACAACTAAAACTAGAAGTAGAAACATTCTGGTTTAGCTGTACATCTATTAAGACGGCTTAACCCGTATGTTTCTAGTTCCAGGTCTTAGTTCTAGTTTTAGTGCATTAGAAATATATAACGCTGAATAACAACTAAAACTAGAATTAACTCTAGCACTAGAACTATCATTAGACCTTGAATTAGAAACATTCGGGTTTAGCTGTGCGTCTCTTGAAACCGCTTAACCCGAATGTTTCTAGTTCTAAGTCTAGTGTTAGTTGTACTGCTAGAGTTAGCAAAAAAGGATGGCGCTAGTACGAATTTACTGATATTCTACGCGCGCGTATTAAAAGGTTTATATAATTGGTTGCCTGTTTAATATTTTGTTGTTTTATTTTGATAAAATTATAAAAATAATGTACTATATATCTTAAAAATGAATTTTGGTTTAAAAAGGCTAAAAGAAGACAGTTATGGGTACCGTTGATAGAAAAAGGGGTTGCAAAAATTCATGGTTGTTATGAGGCGTTAGTTTCGGGGAGGGCAATAGAAGGACTTGCGACGCTTACAGGAGCCCCGTGTGAAAGTATTCCATTACAAGCTTCTTCGATTCCAGCTCCAGCTGAAGAAGAACTTGACGTTGATCTCATTTGGGCGCAGTAAGTTATTTTTACATACAAAATAGAACCATAAATTTTCCTGAAGAACCTACGTTTCTTAATCCTAATAAGCTACAAATAATCACAAATTTTAATAAATTCGTAAATCAAAATTTAAAAATCTTAAATTTCTAAATGATTTCTTAAAATTTACTTAAATTTTATATACAAATGATACTATAAAATCCATATAATTGTGTTGTATTGTGTGTGAATGTAGATTGTTATCGTCTCGTCAAGCTTTTTTTCTGATGGGGGCCTCGTGCGGTGGCGGTAATATGAAGGTGGACGAGCCCGAGTATCAGAGTAAAGGTCTTAGACCAAGGCACGCTTATTCACTACTAGACGTTCGAGACGTTGACGAACATCGTTTGTTGCAATTAAGAAATCCTTGGGGTACGTCACAATAATTAACCATCTCCTTCTTTTCATACAAACAAATTTTAAAATAATCATTATTTTTTGATATTTTACTTTAAATTTGAAACCTATTTAATATTTACAGGACATTATGTGTGGACCGGTGATTGGTCGGACGAATCGGAATTGTGGAACCCTGCTTTACGTCAAGAATTAATGCCAGAAGGACCGCAGAACGACGGCACGTTTTGGATTTCGTTCAACGACGTTTTGAAGTACTTCGATTGTATTGATATTTGCAAAGTGAGACACGGTTGGAATGAAATTAGGCTATCCGGAGTTTTACCACCTTTAGCATCGCAACAGCATCTTTCTTGCATTTTATTGACGATTTTAGAACCGACAGAAGTGGATTTTACATTGTTTCAGGTTATTATTCTGTTTTTATGTAGTATTTTAATAGGCCATACTTTTTCGCAATCAAAACAACTGTTTGAATAGGAATATACAGGGTGTAACAGAAAAAATACACTCTTTCAAGGTGATAAAAGAGGGTGGTATTAAGGAGTAGAAACAGTCATATTTGATAATATTAAAAAAATTTTTTTTTTATTTTAACCATATTGCACTTATGTTCTACCCTGCGTATTATCAATGAAAAAAGAATCAAAAGAAACAAGAATTAACAACACTAATTAACACAACAACAATAAGCAATGTAATGATAATAGACAAAATAACTAAGCGAACCAATTTCCAGTCTCCACTTTCCTTTGTGTGTGCAAAGGTAGCTAAATTTTTTATCTCTTTTTCTTATTATAGGTCTTCCTGTTTATCTTCTGCTTTTGGGTGTCCATTGGTATATGATTTGGCAGTCATCCGTTTGACTTTCTTTGTATATGTCTTGACCATCTTAGCTGATTTACTCTTTGACGTCTATTATGTTGTGATCTTATTCATTTTTGATTTTCCTGCCGCTCATCTTCAGTAATCCATTTCTGTTGTCTTCAGAATATGTTTTTCACTATTGTGTTATAGATTGGATACTTATTCTTGTTCGATATGCTGCTATTCCACAATACGCCGTCCATCATAGCCACTGCTCTGCTACCTTATAGGTTTCTTAGTTTAATGTTCCGTGGAGATTGTAGTTCCATCATAGCGAGTGTGATACCTTCGGAGGAGCCGTTAAACCGTCGGTCTTGGTTTCAGTCGTACATTTCTAGTGACATTAGTAGTAGTAGTACCGTTTCCTCCTAGAAGGAAGTTGACCATGTTATTAACGAAACCTCTAGAGGTTTATAGAAGAGGCCAAGGCTCTTGATTCTGGATTCGCGGGAAGGCAGGCTGAACCGCCCGCAGCACTTTGACCTCAGCAGATCCCTTGTACTTACTTCCCTCATTTGGTCAGCATTAGGGTCCTTCCAGCCATATTACCTTGGAGGCAAAAGCTAGAATTTGTCCTGGTTGTGCTGCCCTGATTCCACTCATGCTAATCTGGATATCTCCAAAAATGGATAACCTTAATGTTTGGAGGGCCACGGAGTCGCAAAATGTGTTCCGCTGATTTCTCCTCCTCACCGCATCCTATGCAGATGTCGGTGTCACTTATTCCCATGTTCAATAAGTGCTTCTGTAAATGCCAGTGTCGAGCGATTAGCCCTATGACCAAACGTAGGTTCTTCCTGGACAGCCTCATAAATAAATCTGTTCGTTTAGGGTCAGGGTACATCAGATCCTCCTTGGCTTGGCGACATCCTGGTGTCTTGTCCCAGTAGTTGAGAAACTTCTTTCGTGTTCCCTGAAGCTCTATTAAAGACCTTATTGTTTGGGCATGAAACGGCGATCCCGGAGGTTCGCCTGCAGCTTTCCTTTCCAGTTTATCCGTCATGTCATGAAGCTTATCCCTTTATCCAGCAGATCGTAATCTCATTGCTAGCGGCTGCCTCACAAAGATTGTTATAGCAGTCCTCAAACAACGAGAACATATTATACAGAATAACAGAATATATTATAATTTTTTTATTTCCTCAGCCGCTAGAGAAATGGCCACCAGCTCCGCTTGGAGCGCGGTGGGCCAAATTCCCAGCGGTTTAAAAATTTTTATTGTTGGTTCGACGGAATAAACCGAAGCACCAGAACCAGTTTCCCTACGAGATCCGTCCACCCATACTTGGAGGACAGTTTCGTCAGGCCTGGATTATTCTCCTACATCTATTTCATACGGTCGTTCGAAGATAAAACGCGTTGGAATCGTATCTACCCTGCCATTCAGGAGCGGCTGTTTGTTACATGCCTCCTCCCATAGCTGGCTAGTCGATTTTCCACATTTATATAGCCATTTGTCATTAGCCGCTCGCAGTCGGATCATTGTTGCTATCACCATCTCTTCAACGTGATAATTGAGAGAAGGAAGGCACAGTACATTCTCCATTGTTGCTGTTGGTGTGGTTATCATCGAGCCTGTAACGTAAAGACAAGCCAGACGTTGCAATTTTTGTAGTTGCAAAACAATCGTTTTATTTCTAACTCTTGGCCACCTGTTTACGGCGCCGTCAGTCATCATTGGACGTATGCCTGCGGTATACTGCAGTGTATATCCACAGGGATATTTTGGGCGTTAAACCCCAGGAGGTCCCAACGGCCCTTCTGCACTGAGCGAACGCAATATGTGCCTTATTTATCTTACCTTCGATATGCGGTCTCCAAGTCAGCGTTTTATTACCCCAGATACTTCACTTCATTGGCAAAGCGCAAGGGAACTTTGCAAAGCCAGGGCGCTCTAAGGATATCCAGCCTACTTTTCCTTGTGAAGAGGACCATCTCTGTTTTATTCGGGTTTACCGACAGAGAATTGTCTCGACACCAGCGTTCGATTATTCTTAGTCCAGCCTGTATTCGGTCGCATAGGACATTTTCGAAGGCTACTGCCGTCCATCATAGCTACTGCTCTGCTACCTTATAGGTTTCTTGGTTTATGATACAGTTTAATGTTCCGTGGAGATTGTAGTTCCATCATAGCGAGTGTGATACCTTCGGAGGAGCCGTTAAACGGTCGGTCTCGGTTTCAGTCGTACATTTTTAGTGACATTAGTAGTAGTACCGTTTCCTCCTAGAAGGAAGTTGACCATGTTATTAACGAAACCTCTAGAGGTTTATAGAAGAGGCCAAGGCTCAATTTGGGCTGTAGCGCCATAAAAAGAAGTGTTATGTATCTGGTAATGTGTGCTCCCAAATATTTGTATTTGCGGGTGTATTTTATGCCCTTCCCATCGTTTAGGTCAAGGACCTGCTGATGTCCCCCCACACACATATACGCCGTTTTTTTGTATAGTAACTTTCAGGCCTCATTTATTATATCCCTCTATTTGCTTCCTGGTCATATATTTCATATCTTGCTGATCTTGTAAAGTTACCATTTGGTTATCGTCGAAACTTAGTATGTAAATGATGATGTGGTTTATTATTATGATATTGTTTGAGGAAGCCGAGGCCAAGGCGTTACAATATATGTTGTAGAATATGGTATCAACTAAAGTAAAATAAATATGCACCTTCATAATATGAAGCTTGTGGACTGCCCTCTCTGTCGAGCCTGCGAACAGGACGATGAGACGGTTAGACACAGTTGTGTGATTGCCCTCTCTGATCAACCTCAGAATGAGGACCTTCGCGGAGAAATGGCCGACCTAGGGTTCGCAAAAAACCGGAATATTTCAAAAACCGGTTTTTCGGTTAATTAATAATGGCAAACCGGTTAATCGGTTAACCGCTTCACCAAAAAAATTGCGTAAAGTACAAAAAAGTGTTTATAGGATGACAAAAAAATTATTATATTAAAACTATACAAAGCAGATGTTATGTGTATTGAAAATATAAAATATACAAAAGAAAAGGTATAGTTTTCTACAAAAACAAAACTAAATTTAATTTATAAAATTTCATTTTTGACCTTAATTTTGTACCAAAATTACCCGCAACTCGCACTCTTTCACTTTCAGTAGATGTCGGTTGTATAGTTCCCAAAGCTTTGTATAAATTTTCAATTGTTGCTGTCTTCTGGAATTCTTTTTTAAAGTTATTTCCAAACTCGGTCTCTCTGTCCTTTTCTGTATCCTGCAACAATTCTGAGATCGTTTCTTGCATCTCCTGAAACAAAGATGTTCCTGTAGTTGCAGGTTTTATTACTTCTTCAATTGCATCAACTTCCTTCTCGATACCTTCGTTATTTGGAACTTTAAATAATTTTTCCTCCAAAGAAGATGCTAACGCATATGTCGAGCTTTTCGCGGAATATGACATTTTCAAAGATTTGTCTCCTTGTGGGAACGATCCGCTATGTAAAAATTTATATGACGTAGTTAAATGTATGTGTCTCCTTTCTAAAATTCTTTTTTTTATTGAGTGATACATTTTTTTCCAAATTTACTATCGTTTTGCTTAATTTATTAAGTAAAAATATTATAACACCCTCTGCCTTTAATAAACTTGAGAATGATTTACTCAGTTCTATAACTGCCAATTCCACAAGTTTCAATATATCAATTAAATTAATTAAAATATTAACATCCATTTTAATGTACAAATGTACACTTCGTCCGATTTCTTCTAATGCTTTGTTTATGCAGTCTTTTATTTGAATGAATCTTTCCATCATTGGTATAAGTGAATTCCATATAGTTTTACAATCTAGTAACTGGGATAGTGTATTGCCTTCTTTTTCAAAAACATATCGTTGCAGTACGTCGTTCCTAACTGGCGATTTTCTGAAAAATTTTACTATCTGGCGCACATTTTGCAAAATGTTCTCCACATCTTTATCTTCCAAACTGTACTCATTATTATTTTCATTGTTATCGTCTCGAAACGCATCGAAATGATAACCTGTTTCTTCATCCTCACTTTATTCGCCCGAAAATTCTTGTGCTAGGCTGGTACTATCACATTTTTTATAAAAGGTATCCATTACAGCTAAATGAATTGCATGGTTTAGGCAAAATTGATTTTCAACTGTGAATATTTTTTCATAACACTGGTGGCCCCATCTTGAGTTGAAGCTAAAATATGAGTATTTAGTGTAATATCATATTCGTTTCATTTTCTTTCAACTAATAATGAAATAAAATAAGGCCTAACTTATAACTGTCTTCCATTGTGCGCAGTGTTACACGGCCGAGACACCTCAATTGCTACCATATTAATACAATATTGGACAACATTTGTTACAGCGACCAGAGATCTCGGCTTAACTTTATTCGGAAGGTGTCTTTTTTTATTATATGCATAGCACAATTATACATATAACACCTAGTAGCTACTAATTAGTTTAACATTATATGTATAAAGAAAATAAAGTTTGCTATGGCGTATTTTTGAATGTTGCACAAGCTTTCGGCAAAGTGTGGTTAGATGGTTTAAATTGCAAACTA